AATAATGTGATAAATCAGAATAATAGAGATATTACAATTAAAAAATTAAGTATCATCCCTACCGCCATTACTTTTGGAGGATACTGTATGTTAAAATAGGGTTTGAACAGTATCATTAGCCACTATCTTTCAGACATTATCACAAATATGGCTCACCTGAACATGAATTTAAAGAATGTTCTTATTGAAAATAGCTAACCTGTTTAAATCATTATATAAAGATTTAAATTTGAATAATATTATCCTTCACATCCTAGATTACATAATCAAAATAATTTAAATGGTATATATTAACTGCTAATCAATACTAAATTGAAATACTAATAGTGACAAAAAAGAGAAAGCTAAACCAAAAAACTCTTCTCCTTTTACACTCTCTGAGATCCTTAAAAGTGCTATTAAATAAATCACCAAGATTGAAAACAAATTAATTTTAATCATAAACAAAATCACTAATTTAAAAAATGAAGTATATTGAATGAATAACAATTAAGTTGATATTGATTTTCATCTCTCTTATTTAGTAAATATTAATCACATTGATGATAATGTCAATACTTCCAATAATACTCATCCTAATCCTAAATATAATGATTTCAATTCTTTATCAGATAATGATTCAAATATTGTTGACTTATTAATAAATAAAGATAGTTTAAACTAATAAAAGATTTATTCCTATATCCCAAACAATCTGATTTTTAAGCTTCTAAATTAAAGATGGTACAGCAATTGATTTCAAATTTACAAAATATTGCAATATAAGCTAAAATTAGTTGCAACATAAATAGGTTAAAACTAATTGCAACGTAAGTTGCAATATTAAAAGTTGCAACATATTAATTACAGTTCCCATCTTTATTCTAAATAAAACATTAATATCTTATGAATTATTAACATAAAATATTCAGTTGTCAATATCTAAAAAAAACTATAAGAATTAGTTCTGTATTAAGCCCACTTATTCTATTCAATTATATCTTCCAAATAAGTATATACTTAACAAATAATTATAATATTAGAACATCTTCTACAATTCTAACAATTAATAATAATATTACAAATATTAAACTTTTATATATATTAAATAATCCAAATTTACTTTCTATTATAATATTAGAAGCTATGTATTCTTAAATAGACTTTAACAAATCAAACAATTTTTCATTAACTTCAATCTAAATATTCTTGAACTAAGTGAAACTCATTTAACTTATTTACAAGCTAGAACTTTTAATAATAATTTTCATAATGAACCTTATAAATTCATTTTTCATAATTCAAACTATTTTAAAAACTGTCAAGAAGTTAGATTAATAATTAGAAATTATTAGTGTTCACATATTTTCAACCAAAGTTTCTTCTTTAATAGAATCTTATATTTATACTTTTAATTTAAGAATAAATTAAGTTACATATTATCCAAGTATACCTAACTTCTAGCTAGTTATCAAGACAAAATTTTTTTTAGATATAGAATTCAAGTTTAAAATAAATTAATAAATCTATTAGTTCAAAGTCAACAAAATAATTTTAATATTATCCTTATGCCTATTTAGAATGAAAAAACTGATACATAATTAGAGTGATCTATATTCTGTGATATCATAATATGTATAAAAATTAAGATTTTTCACATTAGCATATGCTGTTTTGATTTATTAAATTTTATATTTTTTGTTTAACAATAGCATATTTGTAGTTAAAATCTATAGATTAAGATTAAGATCATAATTTAAAATGATAGATCAATTATTTCTGATCTTTTATATTTTTTTACAATGATTTTAATAACTAAGTATAGACTCAAAAACTCAAAATATAAAAAAGTTTTTATGTCGATAATCAAAAACTGTTTTATAAATTTCATCAAAATATTTTAGTCCATAAAAAAATTCACATTAGATGTTAGACAAATATAGAAAAAAGTATGCAAAGCTAAAAATAAAATAAGACTTCATCAAATTACCCTTAATATTAATAATAATGGGTTAAATTAATGTAAAATTATTAATATTGCTTTAGTAAAGCATTTATACAAGCAGATATACCACTTGAAAAAGTAGACAAATTTAAAAACTTTTTTTAAAATTTTGTAAAAATTGTATATAAAATTTATTTTATTTTTAATTTATTATTTAACATGTATTAAATCATTAATAATATTATAAGTGAAGCTATTACAGGCTTTTCTTTATTATGAGAAAAATATTTACCAATTATCTTTAATATGAAGGTTTTTAGCATATAAGAAATAGTATATAATAAGCGTATATCTATTATAATTAATAAAACTACAGATGTTTGTGACTAAGGTTGCTTGTCTAAACTCATTTTGGATTTGGCTAAACGTTTAAACCTTTAGTTTTGCTAAATTTTTACTAAGTATTTGATATAGTTTCGCCATTTTTATAAGCTTTAATATAGTTTTACCTTTTTCTGAATTTTGCAGATTTTTTAATAAAATTTTAATATAATTTAACCAAGTTTTACTTTTACCATTTAGACGTCTGTCTAAACTCTTAATTTTGCTAAGCAACCTTATTTATGACTAAGTAACTATTAATATATTATTTAGTTTTGGTAACCAAACTAAATTAGTTAAGACAGAATATTTAGATAATATCAATAATACTACTATTGCTTAAATTAGTATAAGAATCTTATAATTTTATAACATTTCTTATGACAAACTTGTTTTTTAATTTCTAATAATACAACATATATATTAAAAGCCTTTTAAATATTATCCCCTTTAATTTTCCAATTAAAATATAACCATTGTTTAACTCATATTTTAAATTTAGTTGGAGAAATTATAAGAATTTCAAATTTTTAGTTAATATTGTAATAAACATAAAAAAATCTTTTATTTATTGTTCTACATATAAAGGAAAATGGACTGCTTTTTAAAATTCCTTTTTTTTCCTACTATAGTTTCTTTTAATCAAAATTCAATCAACATATACCACAATTATGTAAATTCTATATTGAAAAAGAAATTATTAGTAATGAAAGTAAAACTATCTGACAATTTTTAAAAATTCAATACATATTTTTACATTTGAAATTTTGATTATGTTTATTTCATTTAATGCAAAGCAGTAAGTTATAATTGGTATTATTTATTTATATAAAAAAATGCAAATCTAATTTATATTTATTTACATAGTATTGTAGATAATCTTGAATTCTTTAAAATTAGAAATAAACCTATTGCTCCTTTTGTAGCTTACTGCTTGGTACATTTTGAATCTGCATTACAATCTGATATTATTCAACCTCCTTTTAGTAATGAGATGAATACTAAATTTTTGGAAGAAAATGTTAATACATCAGTGTTTATTACAATGTTTCAAGAAGCTTATCAATTAGCTTTTAACAAATTAAAGAAACATATAGACTATCATTCAGCATTACCTTTGTTTAAAGCAATTCAATGCTTTGATCCACATTATATTCATGCTCAATGGCATCATTATAATATTAATTTATATTCCGAAATTCAAGAATTTAAAAGGCCAACAGATCAAATTTTACAAGAATGGGGAATTTATTGTAATTTGGAAGAAGAGTTTGAAGATGGCGAGTTTGATTTAAGGAAAAAACAAAATTAGAAGCTTACCAAATTTATCAAGATTGGGTAGATGTAGAACGAAGTTTTTCAGCATATGGGAACGTTTCCAGTAAAATCACGTTATGGATCATATGATTTACTATGCCTCAAGACTTGATTTTACTGGAAATGTTACATATACCAATATTCTTAGTGATAGACGGCATGCTCTTCAGAAGATTCAATTGCTGTTTTGAATTTTTGTATTTTAATAATTAAAATTTTGTAATTGTAGTATAGTTAAAATACAATTTTTAAATAAAGTAATTATCGCATTTTTTGAAAAAAACAAAATAAACGAAGCATATTTTATAAAAAATTTGTACTAGCATATCTTACTATATAAAGCAGGCATAATTTGAATTTAGCGCAGCAGAAAATGGGCCACCCTATACAGAACCTTAGCAAACATAGGATCAATCCAACGAAAAAAAAAGGGAGATGCGTATGTCAGGACGATTGGTTCAACATCAACCGATTGGGCGGGGTCAGAAGCTGGACATAAATGGGATGGTCCACACGGCACCAAATTAATGAAAGAGTCTGTCAAAGTTTACCAAGAACTCTTAAGGATATTTTCGTCCATCTTGCTGGCAAGATTGATTTTGAAGAACACGAGAAAGCTGAACATAATTGGCTTTGTTCACGCAAGTTAGTATTTCTTGACCTTTTCAAATCACTTTCTGAGATATTAATAATTTTTTTTAAGGTGCGGTGTTGATGAGGGTCAGTCTTGATTGCCCGGCCGGGTACATTTGTCGATACACCTATTAGAAGTCTACGCAGATGTAAGCAACTTCGGAAAATCTTTAGATGTGTTGGTTGAAATAATCCATGCAAAGGTAAATATCCCATTTATGTGAGTCCTAAAGCATCTCTTGAAAGTAAGTTAACTTCTTTTCTAGTCCCTAATCCTACAAACGATGAAGATTGTGAATGATCTAGACAATAATAATAATGTTTCAAGATGGAAACAGCAGATGAAATCAAATTCAAAACCAAAGAAACGCAAAGACAAAGAGGTAAAAACCGGTATACAGAAAAGGGAAAAAGGAAAGTCAAGAGTATGATATAATCTCGGTATATTATTAAAAAACATTAGAATTGGACTTATAAAACTAAGTCAAATTCACAACAATTACATTTATTTTTTTACATATATAAATTTACACTGCCGTGAAATTGCTGTAACTAATGATATTTATGCATCGGTGTTCTGAAACGGAACGCGCACGTGAATTTTAAATTTTAAATAGAAGAGTAATATTATACTATTTGATCTAACTCAAGATGAAACTTATTATGTAATTGCCGAAATCTTAAAGCAGAAAGGTTAATATTATACTGCGCCATATGATTATTCCATTCTTCTGCGCGTATAATATAACTGTATTGTAGCACAATCCCCCCGGCTCTGATAGATCAAATGCTACATCTAACTCTGGCCCAAATCTGTATAAGTTAATAACAGAATTGCTTAATTTTGCAACGAACCTTTTTGCCAAATTAGCGTATGCATATCCAACTAAAAAAGAGCATACTTTGCAAGTGTTTTGATGATCTTTGAACCAAGTGAACCTTTAATAATCCTTATAAAAAAAATTTATATTCGTGTTACAAGTATTCTATGATAAATAAAGCATTTTATAAGTTGAAATAGCAGTTTTTTGTTGTGCAACTTATTGGGCTACTCGCGTATTAATTCTTTTCGCTGTTTTATAGTGCTTTGCATATTCGAACTTTTTGTAGTATCGATCGATGGTATTCTACTGGAATTGCATCTCCCACTTCTTTGCAAGAAGGAATCTTTGATCTTGATTAACATTCAAAAACCTTAAAGAACCGACTAACAATATTTTTACGTTCGTCTTCCGACAACATTATACGCCAATCAACTAAAGAGGAGGCGACGGCGGCATTGATGGTTGGTTGTAAAAAGACAGATTAGGTTTGAGCTTCACGACTCTTAATATTACTTCGGATAAGCATGATGTCTACATACTCTTTCATTTTTTCCCAATCAATTGTATAAAAGAGATAGAAATTATAAAAATAAAAAAAAAATTGTTGACCGTAAAGAGGAGGGAGTTATTGACCTTTAAGATTTTAGGAAACACCACAAGAAAGAAATTTCGCTTTGAAGTAAATGAGAAAAATGATAAATTTTTTTTTTTATTAGTACGAAAAAAAAGACAATTTATTCAAAGGGATAAAGATTGGGATTGTAATACAGATGGCGCAAGATTTTTTTTTTGCTAATTCAGCCAATCAAACTATTATTTCACAATGGAAAGATCGGAAAATTTACAGATGGGGATTTAGTTAAAAGAATATATAATAATAAAAATAATCTTTATTTTAATGATTAAATTAAATGATATTCTTATCTCGATATTTCATAAAATAATTTTTTCTCCTATGTTCCTATATGGCACGTGAGTGAGTGTAATAGCAACTAGTAACCTGTATTCTGACCAATGAGTTCTAGTTTTCATGAAATTATTGTAAATCAAGAAAAAAGGAATGTATCAAAAACAACAACTTCTATCTACAAGCAAGTATTCACAAAAAGGGAGAGAATGAATACATAATGATCATAATAGTGGAGGTGGTCAAAGTCAAGGTGATAAAAGTGGTGCTGGTACTGTAACTAAAACTGATTCACCGAAAGTGAAAACGCATACTGGTAAAACTATTAGAACACAAGAAATGAAACAAAAGGTAGTTTTCAAAACTGTTCTTGATTCTCCGTTTAATATAAGCTGGTAAGTATTTAGCATGAAATACAATTCAATACCATATTAATAACGAATCATTTCCTTTTAGGCCCGATGTTTCAATTAAAGACCAAAATGAAATCTTGGATGCACTTTACGAGTGAGTTTATGGGAAATTATGTGTCGATATTAAGAATTTATATATTAACAAATCACAATTTTTTATAACTTATCAGTGATAGGAATATAACAGATCTGTAAAGAATCAAAAAGGAAATCTAATAAAGTGATCGATGATGATGCATCAAAAAATTAAAAAGCGGTCACTTATAACATCACTACCAATTCTTTCTAATATATATTTTGGTCTTAACGAAGTAACAAAATATCTCAAACTACACAAACACGTTCAAATAATAATCATTTATCTAATGATAATTTAGTGTCTACTAACCCTTATGATCAACATTGATCCACTTTAAGTGGTATTTCTTCATTAGGAATGATTTTTATATGTAGGGCAGATCTTCCACCACAATTTTATTCTCATTTACCACAATGTGCTGTATAGCTGGTGGTGTTTTACTTGTTCTATTACCATTATGAGTTTTGAAAAGAATTTCTGATGCAGTGAGATTTAAAAAAGTATCATGCATTGGTGTAAAGGTATTTCAAATAAAACTTGCTTGTAAAAATTTGATTCTTCATGATGGCTTTCTTTGTGTTTAAAGTTTTTTTATTCTTTGTAATTGATTATAGACAAATTCATTAGAATTCAGAAGAATTTATAGAATGGTTAGGAAGAATAGATGTCTCTTGGTTAAATTTACTTAAACCATTAGAATCAGAAAATTTATTAAAAAAAAAACGAAAAATTACAGATGAAGAGGAATTGGAAAGATGTAACAGCCTCATTATTATCCAATAATATGATTAAACAAAAAATGTATGTTAAAATTGCTACTTTTTTATATACAACAAAATTTTTCTTTTTAAACAACAATCAAAAATTAAAATTTATCTTACTTTAACTCAATTAATTTATTATGATTGATTTTACAGATTAATCAACCATAACAATTGCATCAGCAAATAAAAAACAAGTTAAAAACTAAAAAACTAGAAAAAGGTTAAAATAATCAACATCTCAAAAATCCTTATCAAAATATTAATATAACAAATAATCATTCAAAAAAAAGGGTTAAAATAATTATTTATCATATTTTATATTTGTTATTTACTTTATATATAATGATAAAATAATCTAAATAAAAAATATAAAAAATTCTTTTATTAAAGTTTTGCTTAAATTGTTTCTTATATATATATATTTTTTTTTACATATTATCATCCACTATAAAGATTGTTTGCAAATTATATTCTTTTTGTCCAAGTAAGATTGTTTCTACATTATTTTTATTGTTTATTCTTTAGGTTTCAATTATTTTGTTATTAGTGATAAAATTTTGATAAAACCTATATCTATACCTATAATTATTCATGAAAATATCCAATACAACTTGTAGACTCACATTTACAGATATATTTTTCTTTAATATCATTTAGCCCACCTTCTACTTCATTATGAAAATTACCAAAGTAATTAAAAGTTAATTCTTCACCAATTTGAATTTCTTTAATGGTAAAGAAAGCAATATGATGTAACCTAATATCAGCATTATCATTAATGAGAGGATAAACCACCAAATTAGGATCACAAGAATGATTAAAAAAACGAGAAAAATTTCCATAATATGTAGCATCTACAGTATAAGCACATTCATCATGATCTTCAGCATTATAGTCCAAATCAAAAAGGTAAGTTAATCCTTTTGAATCATACTGAGACCCACGTTTTTCAGCATCAGTTGATTTTATTACTTCTCCATAATAATATGTTATAAACATACGTCCGGGAATTTTTCTTTTTGTAATTACACCCCAACCTTTGCTAGGAATCCTTTGAATTGCCAGATCCAAATTAGATTTTCTCTGAGAAACTCGATTAATACAATTAGAAAGGCAGTTACATTTGGAGTTACATTCATAAATGATATTTCCAGGTTTTAACACTACTTGAAATGTCGTTCGGTCATAATTTAATCTCCCTCCAGTATGATCCGTAAAACATAAACATGATTTAGCTGTACAATATCCCATTCTACATTGACATCCCACTAATCGTTCATTAAGATCAGCTTGACATGGAACACCTTCACCATAAATGTAATTTTCAATATATGTAAAATTTGCTGGTATTCCAGCGTCATCAATTTCATTTACCACAGAAATTGGAGGTCCATTCTTAATAGCGCGCCTAAGAAACCTTTCAAATTCAGAAGCTTTGGGTGATTGAAATGGCGCCACAGATCGAAGTCTTTTATTAGAAGTAAATTGTGATTGCTGTTGGAACCGTTCAATTAATGTCAATGGTCTTTTTACCTCGTTACCGTTACCACTATTACTTTTATTATAATTTTCTACCAAATTACTTCTTTGTATCCGTGTTTCTTTAAAACCAGTAGTGGTGATTTTTTTAATATCTTTTTTGTAAACTTGTGTAGAAGAAGTACCATTTTTAATAATGGTGGACGTATTTGAATTATATTCTTGCAGATGCTGACGTGATCTTTCCAACGCAAATTTTTTACTTTTATGAATTCGTTCATAATGAAAATGGTTTAATAATTCAGAACAATTAAGATTATGAGATGGTTCCCAAGTGTTGTACTCAGGACCATAACCTTTCCATTTTATTTCAAAACAAATATTCCCATTGATAACCTTTTGATCTAATACTTTTTCTACTTCATATTCATTTTCTATTTGACATGAACTATCCGGAGGTTCCATTGGAATTTTATTTTTTTTTATTTTTTTTTTCGTGTTGCTGAAGGACGACAGAAAGAGTTAATAAACAAGTTATCGTTATTGTTGATCACCTAAATTTGGAAGAACTACTTTTATTCGCGTCATGTGACATATATCATTATCATCAACCCCTTTATAGTCACACCTCTATATAGTCACACACTTTCTTTCTTTTATTTCACAAATTAAAATTCGATTCAAAAATTTATATGAAAATTTTTATTTAACGCACATCCCTAAAAAAGTTCTTGGATTAAATTCAAGAAGGCTAAATAAAACTTTGAGAAATATAAGTTTTCTTTCGGCTATATATATAGTTTTACCATACTCAACCTGTTCTTGATTTTAGATTACTAAGCGAGCAATTTAAACTCGAACCAAATGTATGAAAGCTGGGAATTTGTTGAATCTCAACGACATGTATATAATTTGGTCGATAGATTTAGTTCACTCACTGTTTCCTCTTCGCAAAGATCATTTATAGTTAACTTTCCTTGTGAAGTTTTTATTGATATTTGTAAATTTCTTCCCCCGGTTGACCTTGTTACTCTTTCCGTTGTCTGTAAAATGTTTCGAAATTGGTTAGTGGCGCGTTCAAATTTTGGAACTGAGCAGATTTGGAGAATGGCAAGGATCAACTGGTTGCCACATCTCCGGACACCACCTAAGGGAATGTCAGAGCAATGTTATGTTTTCTTAAATTTAATTGAATTAGGTTGTCAATTTTGTGGAAGTGGCAAGGTCGATCCAAATGGTCAATTGCCATATGATACTCCGGCAAAGATTTACTGGTGTTTCCGAGTTCGTTGTTGCCAACGATGCTTTTTGGAAAAATCAGTAACGTAAGATGCCAAATTTTTTGATAATTGTGAGAAATTCTAATTTGTTTGCATCTTTTAATAAATCCTCTTTTTTTATTTCTCAGTTTAAAACAAATTGAAGATGAAGGTCAGGTCAATCGTGATGTACTTCAAGGACTTCCTTATTATTATAAAAAAAATCGACCTATTATTTATTGGAGGAACCAAGTAGAAGTAGCTCATCAAGAATACATGAAGCTTGATAAGATTGATATTTATAAATGGTCGATTGAAAAATCTGATCATTTACGTAATCTAAATAAGATGATTGCAAGTTGTTCAGTACCAGACCGATCGGACTCATCAAAAAAATGTCAAATAAAGTTGGATTCGTTAATAAACCAATTATCATTTGTAGTTCCTAATGATGCAAATAGAAGTCAACTTAAAGTAATAGTACAACTCAAAAGGTGTCCCACTTATAAAAAATATACTCCTAATAATCAAGAAGCAAGGTTAGCGATGAGTTTATTATTTAATGAGAACCACTGGATTCTCTTCCAAAACTTTATAAGACAAGAATATGAAGAGAAACGAATATATGCGGCTTCAAGGGCACGACGATATGATATATTTCGCAAGGTAGGAAACGTTGGATCCGTGATTTCTCTTATCATACAATCCCTAACTTTTCCCTCTTAATTAGATATATTCAATGATTCCAGAGAAATTCTCCATGAATGATCCTTTGGTTCAATATCTTCCATATTGCCTATCTTTCAAAAAACCACCATTTCATAATCATGATCCTACTATACCTTGGATAGGCAATTTCCTTGAAAATACATTAATTCCTACCCTTTGTGAGGAAGCGGCAGCAATCGCAAAAGTAGGAAAGTGTCAACCAATTACAACGCCATCAGGCGTTTTTAAATTATTAGTAAATCAACGTGTATTCCATTGTAAGTTATGCGAAGAGGGTCGAATGCAAGTTTATGACTTTGGAACGGTTCAGTGGCATTTACATAAATTACATGAAATCAGGAGAATAGTTAAAAAGAAAATGATTACAGTTGATTATTTGGCATTTGGCATGAGTCTCCTAAAGCGAGATTCTGAATTAGTTTGTTTCTTCTATCCACTTGATGGCTGATCAATTCATATAATCCCCCTCCCTTTTTTTGATGTCAGAGTCAAATATGCAAAAATTATAAATTGCGTATTGTATATATTTATTAGTAAAAGTTATGACTTTATTAGTATATTCTCTCTTTTTTGCATCTTTGTAATTTTATTCAATTTATTTATTTTTTCGCACCCTTAAATAAAATAATATACATTATACGAAACGATTCTGGCTATTTTTATTTTATTTTCATTAGATATAATTATATAAACGCATTATATTTTCCTACTGATCAGGTTTATCAACTTTATCCTTTTCATTTAACCCTAAACTAAGTTCTTTTCTATTTTTAGATTTCTTTAATTCTTTTAATTTCCTTTTTTCTTCGTTTATAATGTCAGGGCACCATTCTAATACATCTAATCTAGTTTTATCAACAAATTTTAATACTTTTTCACCTTGTTCACGCATTAAATCTTCAATTGTAGTTTTACCATCCCTAAACCAACCTAAATGATCCGCTATTAAATGACGATTTTGACACGAAGAACATTGTATGATGACAACACCATGGTCATAAGCATGCCTTGACATTGTTTTGGTAGAACGATAGGAACATACTTTGCATGTGAATGCTATTAAAAGACGAGCTTTGGAATTGTGTTGAGATGTCGAAGAAATATCGGAGGAAGTTGATTGAGTGGAAGAGTGGGAAGGATCCGAATGAACTTGAAAAGAATTAGGATGAGAATGAAATTCATCTTTGAATGAATATTTAGTTGAATGGATAAAAGATGATCGTATAGATATAGAATTTGATACTTGAAAATGAAATCGATCTTTTCTTGGTAAATTACAAATCAAACGAGAAATTGCATTTCGTTTTTGTAAGTGTTTAGTGAAATTATGAAACATTATATTTAAAGATATTTATTTAAAAAACCAAAATGAAGGAATTTCTCGCGATTATTTTTATGGGGTATATATTACCATAATAAGAAATTTCACGTGGAGGATTTTGTACTGCGCCACGGAAATTTGATGAAATTGTCTCCTCAAAACTTGATAATTATGATTAATTAAATTACAAATGAAAGTCGGCAAGATAATTCATTATACAACCCTCTAGAAATTCTGCTCAGCATCTTTATTTATCTTAGTGAAACGGTGAATACATTATAATAAATAAATATAATCCTAAAGAAATTCCACTGCTAAATTAACTATTTCATTTGATTATGATTTTTGAGAAGCATCCCTACAAGGAGGAGGAATTGGAGAATTTGGATCTATAGGTGGATGAACCACCCGTCCTACTTGATAATATGTATGGTGATCACGATAGAATGATGCCCAATTCTTAAGATCCTAAATATGAAGGTTAGTTTATTAATTATTGAAAAAAAAGTTCTAATTAAAAAAAATCTTCGTCGTACCTCAAGTTGTTGGGGAGTTAGTCCACGTAAATCATGAGTTAGATGAGTTTCGAAACATCCCGTAACATATGCTCGAGATGCATCTTTCCCTGCAAAAAAATTATAGCCACCTCCCTAAGAAAATACAAATCGTTTTAATGCGTATGCCTTATTCGAGTTTTGTCATTAGAAAGAAATAAATTTTGTTTAACCTTGCCATAATACATTCCGCCGCCTGTAACATCAAACACTTCTCCACTATGATGTCAATAAATATAAAGGTTTAAATTGAAGATAAATGATATATTATTTATATAAAGATAAATTAAATCTTCATCTTACTTCATAGCAATATATATAGGTAAGTTGGGATCTGATCCATCATATTTAGCTAATTCTTCTTCAGTAAAGATAATTTCTTTTCTCTATTTAAGAAATACATTGTTAAATTACCCACACCTTTTAATTATAAATATTATATCCCATTTTTTACAAACCGGAATCCAATTTCTCCAGTTACTATATTTTCCTTCATATCCCCAAATCCAAGTTTCAGTTAAAAAGTATGACGCGGCAAAATTTATAATAATTAAAGTTAAAATTCCTTTTAATATAATTAAACCTATCGAATCATTTGATTGTGAACTTTCTTTTTTTAAAATATTTTTCCGGTTGTTGTCATCATCGCGAGATTTTTCTTCGGAAATACTTGTAGATTTTTTTCTTTTTTGAACTGTTGACATTCTGAAATTGGAAAAAAATATATTATAAAGATTAAGCTCCTTAATATCCGAAAATATCATGTGATTTAAATTTGAAATATTTGACGCGCATATCAGGTGTGCCACATATTTTACATGCATATATACTACAACAAATATGATTGGCTGATCATAATCTTAAATGATAAATTTATACAAAGTATAAAAACAAATACATGAAAAAACAAAAAACCTCTATCTATTCTAATTTATATAGTAAACGAAATAAACTAAACTAAATCAAGGTTAACCTTACACATTTCTAGACTAATTACCTGTTAATCAAACAATCTAAGAAAAGGATCTGATCATTACCAATCCAAAAATCCTTTTAGTTAAAACAGATATTATCAAACTACAGTGTATAACAATGGTAAACTTAGGTGTATATGTTGAAAGAAGTAAGGCAAATATTGGAATTCTAAAACAAAAAATTATAATGATATATAGAAAAGCATTCAAAATCAGTTCTAGATATATGGGAGACAGTCAGTAGAAAAGTAAATAATCTAAAATTTTTGTTAATTTTTATTATTAAGCCAAATTTGTGCACATGATTGAGATTAACTAAGTGGTCTAATAATATAAATTTTGACCAAAATTTAGATTTCCTTCTTTTCTACTGACCGCCTTCCATATATCAATAGTATCTAAATTTATAACCAACCTTAATTCAAATCCTACTATACAATATTTTGATATTATTTTAAATATAATTAGTTTTCTATATCAAAAATGATATTGTATTATAACCTTTCTAATCTTATTTAAATTACTTCTATTATATCATAAAAGTTATATTAAACTGTTTGTCTTAAAACATTTTAGATATTTTATATTTTTTATGCTTTTAATAAGGCTTTACAATTAATGTTATATGATATCTTATAATTAATTCTAGTATATCAAATATTTTCATTATATAGAAATTAAATCTAAAACCATATCATTTACAAAAATTGTGACAAAAAAAATTGATAAAGAATACTAAAATTTTGAATGAGATATCAAAATTTAATATTTATATAAATAAGTTTAAAACTTGTAACTTTTATTTTGGTATACTAAAATACTTTGATATATAAGAAAACAATTTAGAACTGGTTTATTTGCAAAAAACCTGAAACAAAAAAAGTTTATCTTCTATAAGTTAAAATATCAAAATTACAGTTTAAATATAAAAATTTGTTTAAAGTATAAGCATATAAAATTAAGAATACCAAAATTTTAATAGCTTAACTACTATTTATTAGAGACCTAAAGCAAATTAATAATAGTATTAGAAGGTATAAAACCCTTTTATATAAGCTGAATATTTATTAGAAGCTAATTTCATGAATCTTTTATATTCACTATGAATTAAACATTCCTCTTTATATATATAAGATTGTTCACAAATGTTATCAAAAATGTATACAATTAGATTTGTATATTTATTATATGTGATATATTATTTTTAATATACCAAATAATTATTTAAAGAAAAAAATATATATATACAAAAATACATATACATTTATAATAAATTCACAAATTCAATTAATAAAATAAAAGCCTATTTTTTACTTTTTAGGAGGTTAAAAATGTTTTAATTAATATAGTTATGGCTAAAATATATTGTAAAAGATTTAAATTAGAAAATTTATGTAAAATTATAAAAAAGTGATTACAGAATTATATCAAATAGAAAACTCTAAATATATATATATTCTAGATAATGCAAAAAAAATATATTTTATAATACAAATAAATATTAAAAATTATGATGATTATAAACCTTTTTTTTAAAATAATCCAAGAATTCTTAGAGCTTCATAAATTTATATGAATTATATATAAGTTAGCAAAGAATTATTTTATTATAGAAATAATTGTTGAAAAAAGAAGCAGAAGACTTGTTTAATTCATAAGAACCTATTGGAGTGATAATTCAAAATCATAAGAAATGATTTGAAGTTTTTCAATCATATAAGATCTTCTTAAACTGCCTTTATCATCAATTAGTTAATATAAAATCAGCTGATTTTTTTGTATTAAAGATTCACAGATTTGATAAAATTGAGAAAATCAATTTATATTACTAACATATTTCTTTTATCTAAATCATTAAGATCAAGCAAGTATAAAATAAAAATATGTGATATTTAAGATATAAAATCTGTATAAATATTAATAGAAGTTTTAAAAGAAGATATAATAAGAACAGATGTAATTATAGTTAATTCTATAATATAAAAGCTAGAGAATAGTACTTTAAACATTGTATTAAAAAAAATATTAAATTTGAAAGATCAATAAATAGCTAAACTATACCTATTCTAAAAAAAAAAAAAGGGTATTTATATTGGTTAATAAATCATCTGTATAGAGGTATTAGTTATAAAATGTGTAAAAATAAAAAGAGTGTTTATTAAAGTAAAATTAAAATTTAAAGTAAGTTCTATAGAATCTATATGAGAAATATCAAAGAAATTAATTAAGGCTGATAAGATTATATTAAATAATATAAAATGTAAAAGATTACATTTGATTCTAATATTTCTGATTAAGATAACTTTAAATTCTACATAATGATTTTTTTTGGTATATAAAAAAACAATAATTTTTTTTGGTATTTTAGTTGGTAATATTTATGAAATATATTTTTTTTAAATCTAAAATTTGATTAAATTTAAAAATCCTATTAAAAGTTTAGGTAAAGATATTTATTATAAACAAATAGTTTAATCTCAAATATTCTCAAGTTAAGATCTAGATATTATTTAATTTTTAAATCAAGTAACTTATATATATCTGAATATTTATCAATCATAATAAACTAATTTATGAATGCTATATCAATATAGATTATATATATTTATTTATATTTTGTATTTTGTATTTTTTTATAATAGTGTTAGCAAATGACCTTGAAATAACCTTAAAATAACCTCAAAGAACATCAAAGGACCTCACTTTTATTATAAATTTCAAGTCAAAATGATCAAGATCATTTGAAAAAAAAGTAAATAATCTTGTAATTTGCCATCATTACTTTATAATATATTTCTATATCTTATTAAATTACCCTATTATTTCATATATTCTGCTTTTCACAAGATATCTACAGATATGAATTAATTTTTAAATTGAAAAAATTGATTTATATTCAAGATATCTTATGTAATGCTTTATAATAATTAATTATTAATAGTAATTGATAAGTTTAGATTAATAAATTAACAACTTAAATTAAATAAATATATATATTAAAAAAAAATATATAGAAGATTTACTAGAAAAATGAGATTCTAAGCATTTTTTAAAATTTTAATTTTTATTGCATTTTAATCTAATATTATCAAAAAATAAAATACAATAAAAATTATAATTTTAATAAAAAATTCTTAAAGTCTTATTTTTCTAGCAAATCTTTTATATCTCTTTATTAGTTTTTCTTTCAAATTTAGAAGGAATTTTACTTGCTAATTAAAGTTAATTTTAGATATATTAAAAATTAATTATAGTGCTGGAAGTCTTAACTCGAAAATTACGTGATTTTGTTTCAAATTTTTCTGATGATCATTTATCATGTGATTAGAGATCAACCAATTAAAACAAGTATTTTTTGTGTAATTAAAAAATTTTTTTTAATAATTTTTTTTAACCTTTATAAAGCAAAAAATGGAAATAAGAGAACAACCAATGATCTTGAGTTAAGTATTGAATAATTTTTAAATTCCTTTAAATACCGTCTTAC